GCCTACGACCAAACCAAACAATATAGGAGTAAACCTATTTAGAGATATATAGTACATATATATCTATATCAAAATAAAAATATACGTAGTACATCTAAGCGATAGAAAAACGTTCGTGAGTTTTGGAAGCAGAACAGACCGATCGGAGAAAATATCACATTTAGTAGAATATCTTTAATGTTTGGATAACGAAACAAAATTTTGCACACTTATATGGGTTCTTTATATTGCCACACTGTAATATAAAGTTTCATTAATCGTGGCATTTAACTTAGTATTAATATGGATCTTAACAAAGTCTTGTACTTATTCTGTAATTTAAAAGGATTCTTCGCAAGGGGTAGTGGTTATCAAAACCGGGTATACAAGAGTCAGACTGACCTTAGACTCGTTTGGACCTAATTTTTATAGCCTGTACCCAAAGGGTGAAAGGCTATACTAGTTTTGTGCGCATGTATGTAACACACAGAAGGAGGCGTGGCAGACCCCACAAAGTATATATATTCTTGATCAGGATGAGAAGCCGAGTCGATATAGCCTTGTCCGTCCGTCCGTCTGTCCGTCTGTCTGTCTGTCTGTCTGTCTGTCCGTCTGTCCGTATGAACGCAAGGATCTCAGAAAGTATAAGAGCTAGAATAACCAAACTTGGTTTCCATATTCTCCTAAGACCGAGAAAGTACGAGTTTGAGTTTTTTTTCGATGCACCCCCCCACTCCCCCGCAATTCGTGTTTTTTCTTATAACTTCCGTAATTCTCGGAATTTTGAAATCAATTTTGGTAGGTACATCCAGTTAGTACTAATGTGTCCGTGTGCCAAATTTCATCATGATAGGTCAATTCTATAGGTCAATTATAGCCATAAGTAAAATCGCTGCTCATGCGCTGCCTCTGTCGGCAGCGCTGCCCGCAGCTGTTGTTGTTGTTGCTGCTTTGGTTCAACTTTGTGCTGCATACATACACGCATATAAGCACGCATAGGTACGTGATGTAAATGTATGCTGTTAAAACTAAACATAAACATATATTCTAATTTAATTTAATTAATTAATTCATTAATTTTTTTTAATAATTTAATTTTTTTTTAAATTTTTTTTTTAAATTTTTCTTTTTTTGTGGAGAGTACAGGCTATTTTACTGTCGGGCTTGCTCGACTGTAGCGTTCTATCTTGTTGTTATTAGTTCGTATGAATTCCAAATTTAATGTATTACCTGCATCTTCTATATAGTATATTGTCCAGATTGACAAACTGATTTATTGGTGATCAAGGCGCAGCGTCAACCGTAAAAGGTAGGAAGCTGAAATTTCAACTTAAGTTTTTATTCACAGTGTAGATGAGCGATAGGAAGCGGTTTTGGTGAAAATTCTAGCTCCAATGGGAGAAAAGAGCCTCCAAAGCTTGACATGAATATAATGCTTGATCGTACACAAACTATTAACTTACGTTGTTGCTGCTTACTCATATATATATTAAATTTGAAATTTAGGAAGTTCTCAGCCAAGTTTCTTGTAAGCTTTATTCTTGTGTGAATGAACCTTTTCCAGCTGGGATCCATCCAACTCGACGAAGATACACTTATCCACAATTTCATATTTAGCAATCAAAGTGGGGTTGTGGAAGGATCTTGCACGAAAAAAGGACGATATAGTTATATACCTACAAGGACTATTGTTGACTATAAATTGAATCTCGCCCCGGAAAATGCTTGAATGTTTTATGTCTTTATCGAATGCATGAGATTTTGATGGAAATTATGCAAATTCTACAAAATAAATACTTCATCAATAACTTAAGCTTCTCAAGTGTGCTATCGAAGAATTAAAAAAGGTTTTACCACAGCTCTGAAAATATTTGCCAGGTATTTCAAGGTTATGTGAACATAGCTTAAGACTTATAGGGAAATTACCGAAATTATCAAAACCACAGCTCTGAAAATATTTGCCAGGTATTTCAAGGTTATGTGAACATAGCTTAAGACTAATAGGGAAATTGCGTAAATTAATAATAAAAAAAAGAATTATTAGCTTAAGCTTAGCAGAAGAAGCGCTGAAGAACTTATATTTGAATGTCTTAGAAATAACTAAAGCTATGAATTGAAAACATTTACGATCAGTGTGCTTAATTTTCCCTAGAGTTTAATTTAAACACCCCGCTGAGCGGATGGACAGCGAGAGAATTGGGCCCTCGGGATAGTAAGAGTGCGCGATTTGCAAAGATTCCCGCATGGGCAGGACTTGAAAAATTGGTGGTGGTGGTGTTGGTCAGCCAATCATTAATATCCTTAGACGTTTTGTATTTTTTTTTTTTTTTGCTTTCGGTGGTGCTGGTGGTGCAAGGACAATAACATTTTTATTACAAATCGTTTATCTTCATTACGCGGGCAGCGTCAAAACTTACGCAATGACCGCAAACAAAAAGATATGGAAAAAGAGTGCAAAACCGGTCGTGAAAACTGCGAAGTAGAAGACTTGCATACATTTGGGTATTATTGTTAAGGTAAGCAAGTTCAAGTGGCCACCCCAACCGGAGAGCTGCCTACCCCTGGACTGCAACTGACCCTTTGCCGTTTACCTAATTAGATTTCTTTTGTTCGACGGACGCTGGCCAGTTTTAGTTTGTCTTTTTTATTGTACTTGAGATTAAGCTTTTGTTTTTCCATTTAACGCTTAATTTCAAAATTTTGATGCCCTAACGCGATTTACTGTGTCCAGGATATCTAGGTGTAGTGTAGAGCAGTCGGACCCGTTGACCCCTCGCTATCGTAATGCACAGATCGGTTACATAATCGTCGTGGTCAACTGACCGCGACTAAACAAACACTTGGTCGAACGGGTTAGGGTTGACGGTCAGTTTCAGTTTCAGGTTCAGGTTCAGGTTCGTTCGATTCGCATTTGACTTATGCGTGAGGCAAAAGCAAAAAAACTTTTAATTGCATCGAACAATGTTATATGGCTTGCATTGTCCGGCTCGGCCGATTATTGTTTGTTTTATAGCTGGCCAACCGGCCCGTTTAACCTTTTGAATATTTAGGCGGCACTTGAACACGAACCTTTGTAATTCGGCCAGCGGTCAGTTTTTAATGCACTTCCCATTGTTATTGTTCTTAGAAGACAGAAAAAAATAGTGAATCAACTTTTTATGAGCCCTACACGCTAAGCGGATCAATTTCATGCGACGAAGTCCGAGCATATTCCTGAACAGTTGCGGTTGAGCTTTGATTTGCATTTCTTGTTTCTGGTTTTTTGCCAATTTCAATTTACTTCCCGAATCATAATTTTGTACGTGCGCTGCACGCTTTCGTGGTGGGCCCTTCAAATTGCAGAAAGAATAATGATAAAAATAACAAAAATTATTACAATTACAGAAAGCAAGAGAGCAGAGGAAGCTTCCTGCCCTCCAATATCCATACAATGTTGCGTGACTCTACGTGGGCTGCGCCCCAATATGACCTGACAGAAATTGGCTTTGATCTTGGCACTCATTAGCCATGCCCCGGTCCGCAGAGTTCTCTGAAGAAGAGGTCTGAGTCTGAGGGCGAAAATTGCTCAATAAGTTGCCAGCGTTGGCGTGCGGCCAGTATCTGGCGTCATTACACTAGGTGTGTCGTGGCATCAAGTGGGCGAGGTTGTGGAAGAGTCTCTGCTGATCTGATCACAGCATATTGTGATTTATAACCGAAGGAGGCAGAAGATTACAGAACAGGATTTCAAATTTAAAGAATTATTTAATGTATGTAGAATTGCTCTGCTCTAAAATGCTATTCGAAAATTCTGGAACTGCTGCCAGGCAATATTAATGAGAGTCGATTCGCTAAACACAGCATATTGTGGTTTACACCCGAATGTAAGTTGCAAACATTTCTCAGATTTAAATCGATTGCAAAATGAAATTAGGGGACATTCATTGCTCTGCTACAAGAACCCCAATTCCTGGAGAAAAAAAGTATCATTTTAAGCATAAAACTAGAAACCGACTTGAACGGTTAAGCAGCTTGAGGAGAAAAAGATTCCCAGCACTTTTCAATGGAAGATGCAGATTTTAATCGTTCTATGTTTCCAAAAAGGCAATAGCTATCAAATAGAATTATTTTTAACAACCCTAGAGTGCCATTATAAATCTGCAATTTGTCATTATCCAATTACAGACAAACTTCTGTAGAAGGAATTGGCCTGCAACTAACTTATATAGAAATTATGAAAGTTTTTCAACTGTTGCTTAAATCTGGCCTTAGAGTCCGTTTTAACAACAAAAACTTGGGGTACTTCAATATGTAGAAAATATGATAATGTTTCATCTTTAATTTAGAACAAGTTTTGTTGCCCGTTTTCCCCAACTTGGAGGTCGAATTTTCGAAAACAAACACTTCTTAGTGCCTCCATAAATAAAACTTGTATCCGTTTGGGTTGTGCATTGATTACCTATTTCATTTTCATGTACCACAGGAAAGCCGCAATAAAAAGTTCTGTTCAAGTCTTTATTTTCTCCATGGAATTTACAGTTTGTTTTAACTAATTTGAATTCCGTTTTTTCCACCTTGGATGGCCAATTTAACAACAAAAAATGGGGATTCTCCAATGTACAGAGAATATTATAATGTTTCATCTTTAATTTAGAACAAGTTTTGTTGCCCGTTTTCCCCAACTTGGAGGTCGAATTTTCGAAATAGAAAACTTCTTTGAAATAAAACTTGTGTCCGTTTGGGCTGTGCATTGATTACCTATTGCCTTTACACGTTCCACAGGAAAGCCCCAATAAAAGGTTCCGTTCACACAGTAGTTAAATTTATCGAAAGTTGTGCAACAAAGTTGCTTTCGCTGCCATTAAATGCAAGTGTTTATTTTCTCCATGGAATTTACAGTTCGTTTCAACTAATCTGAAGCTTAACCAGAATATTCAGCCCTTCGACAGCTATAACTTATGATAATGATAAGAAATGCGTATATCATGGCATATGCCTTTGGCTATATATACGGATTCGTGAAGAGTAAACAGCAGTTCCAATTTGGCAATGGCGGTTCAACTTTCAATATTCGGCTTGACTATTTGTCTTTTGTTTAATGGTCTCATAGAGGGCAGAACGATTGACAAGTACGAACATAGAATTCCTTGGAAACTGGAGGAGCTGCATGTTGGACTACGTAGCGTTGAGGACTTTTGGCTGCCGGGTTAGTATTCTTACTTATCGTTAATAGCAAACTATTCAGTAACTGGCGGAACTGTAATTTCAGACAATAAGTATTTGTACTCTGTAAATAATACTATAAAAGTCTATGATGCATCAACTGGGAAAATTATAGAAGACTTGAGCAATAATAATAATACTATAAAAGTCTATGATGCATCAACTGGGAAAATTATAGAAGACTTGAGCAAAGAACAATTGGTAAAAGTTTTCCAAACACCTTTCAGAATTGCCTTTCAGTTTTAACCTTTTATATACTCCCAATAGATTAATTTAAGTCTTCGAATCGGCGCACACAAACAGTATTATGAAGGCAATGCTCATTGGATGGGGTCTACGAAAGAGTGTGATATGAAACAGTACAGTTGGTTACCTGTAAAAAATCTATGGCTTTATACCAAAGATAATGACATTTATTTGAAATATGCGAACGGATTGCCTGTTAAAATTACTAGGCCTGACACATTCAAAAAAGGGGACAAAATCGTGTCGCTGCAGCCGTCGAAAAGTGACACCAAGCTGGCCGTTTATACTGCGAACATCAGCAAAGTAAAAACACACAAATGGTACGAATACGGCCGTTTGGATAAACCCAACGACCAGTACGCTGAGGAAAAAAGTATACCATATACAAAAGTTGGTGGCGCTATGCCTTCTTTTGGTTTGTACATTCTGGACTTGGAATCGCCTCATCTAGATGCCATATCGTTGAAGCCTCCTGTTGATGTTGTAGGTGCAGATTTCTATCTTAGAAATCCCACCTGGCTTAATGAGACACACTTGCTGGTCGTGTATGAAAATCGTCGACAAAATGTGGCTACGATGCAGCTATGCAGCACCAAGGGGCAGTGCCGCGAGGTAAAAGATTTAGACTTTGAATCTATCTCTTAATTATACGAGTATATATTGCAGCTAAGACGCTTTGAAGAGCCTAGTGGTTGGATTACAGCTCTTGGATTTAATCCGCTTCTTCAACCTATTTGTACGAGTAATGGAAAGACTTGCTTTTTTGTATACTGGTCAGGCAACTGGGAACAGATTTGGCGCCTGGATATAGAAACGGGGCAACAAATCGCATACAACATGGGGAACTTCAGTGTGCTGAGCATTTATGGCTATGATGAGGCGAACGATAAAATGTAGGTAGACTACAAATTGTAGAGTTCAGTTTATTTCAGTTCATCTAATTCATTCCATTTGACGTCATAATAATTATACCCTTTTCCGCACAAAGTATATGTATTCTAGATTAGGTTCCTCTGGCTGTTCGTCTGTATGAACGCAATGAGCTCAGAAACTATAAGAGCTAGAATAACCAAACTTGGTACCCAAATTCTCCAAAGTTCGAAAAAGTACAAGTTTGAGTTTTTATTCGATTTATTTTTCAAAAAGTTGTCATGCCCCTCTGTCTGTCCGTCCGTCTGTCTGTCCGTCTGTCTGTAGGAACGCAGGGATCTCAGAAATTATAATAACTAGAATAACCAGAATTGGTACCCCAATAAGTCCGAGAAAGACCGAGTTAGATTTTTTTTGTAAAAATGTATTTTTCAAAAATTGCCACATTTTCAATTAAAAGGCAATATCAGCGCTCATTAAAAGAAACTAATTCTGAACCCAACTTTATTCCAGAATTCAAATTATTATATTAATACTACAAGTATTTTCCATATAACAGCTACTATCTGGCTACTTTACCAAATGATCCAGCAGCGAATCATATATTTAGCAACGAATATTGTCTGAGCTGCAACGTGCAGGATAAGGATCCTCATTTGGATTGTCAATATGCCAGAGCGCTCTTTAGCAAGGACTTCACATATTATGCGCTAACATGCCAGGGTCCCAATGTGCCTTTTGTAAAAATTGTTCGTACCGAGGATAATACGGTGGTGTACGATGTGGAGCTGAACAAGGAACATCGAAATCAAATGGCCAAACACTTGCAGCCCATTATTAAATATAACAGTGTTATCCTGGCCGATGGCAGCAGTGGTTTTGCGAAAATACTGCTGCCCCCCAACTTCGACGAATCTAAAAAATACCCGCTTCTTTTTGAAGTTTATGGCGGCCCTACGACTGTGTTAGTTACGAAGAAGCATGACATTGATTTCGGCCACTATCTGACCACCAACTATGATGTGATTTATGTCAGCATCGATGGTCGTGGTACTGAAAACAAGGGTAAGGCCTTTCACTTCTCTGTCAACAATCATTTGGGGGACTACGAGGTAGAGGATCAGTTGTTTGCCGCCAGATGGTTACAAAATTCTAGCTTTATCGATAATAATCGCACGGGTATTTGGGGTCACAGTTATGGTGGCTATATGGTCACCAAAGTTATTGAAGCCGATAATGACCTTGTTTTTAAATGTGGTGCGGCAGGAGCTCCAGTAATCAACTGGGCACTTTATGGTGAGTATAAAAAATTTAAAGGAAAAAAGCTAAAACATTTTATTTAATTACGATCTCTTAGATAACGTCTACACAGAACAGTACATGGGTATTCCATCAACGGCTGAACGAGAGGAGGCCTACAAAAAGAGTAGTGCCCTGAATAATCTTGAAAATATAGGCACCCATGATTTCCTCTTGATGCATGGCAGTGCCGATGATAACGTACATTTGGAGCACTCATATGTGTTGGCCAAGAAGCTGCAGGACATGAATATTCCCTTTGAAGAAATGGTAATACCCAGATTGCTTTATAAACTGAACGCTGCTAACGTTTGATTATTTTCAGATCTATGTAGATCAGAATCACGGTCTGTCTAATCATAAGTATATAATGATGGAGCGGTTCTTTAAAAACTGTTTAAATTTGGAGTCAAATGGACTTTAAAAAAGTTAATTTTTTAAAAAATGCACACAGATAGTTAGATTCTTAAAAACCAATCCAAGATACAAAAACTGTTAATCAAGTCCACATCTGGTCTTCTCTAAGCCAAGAAAAAGCAATTTAAATAAAATTTTATTGTTACCCAACAATCGAAACGATTATACTTAACCTAAGATGAAATATTTATCTTTTTTCTTCAAAATTCTGACCATTCTGACCAGGATATTTATATTTAATATATAATATCTCTGTTCGTGAGACCTGTTCCGGATTTCGTACTTTTTTACTTTTTACAAAATCACAGAAGATTAATATTATAATTTTTAAAGCATACTTTTAGGTCATAAAAGATTAATTGCGCGCAATTATTTTTCTGATGCTTTGCTTACGAATTACTGAATTTCTTAACTTCTATTTCCACAGTTTCTCATTTCCTTAGATCTTAAATTTTATATTGGATTTAAAGCATTTCAAAATTACAAAAACTATGAAGAATTAAAAACATGTACAGCATTTACTTCCCTTTGGATAGTTCCTGATAGTCCTGATCCCATGAACTATTTTTAAATCAATTGACTCTATCGATAACAGTCACTTTTTTATACTAATTTATACTTTCATACTCATTTAATACAATTTGATATATTTAGATAACTGGAACAGACCGTACTTATATCATTTATTTAATATTGATTATTAAATATGATATAAATATTAGCTAGATAGCTTAGGCGAAATTCTTGGCAATTGATGAAAACAATCCCCCTAATATTTCCGCATAAAAAACATACATCTTCTACAATTTTCATAAGTTCTAATCTGAAATCTCATTGCTTTATTTGAAATCCCAAGCTCTGCAAAAGCAGACTCTTGAAAAGTGCTCGACAGTCTTTGTGCAATCACAAAAATCCGCACAACCACAACGACACGGTTCGAGTGGTAAATGGCGGGCTGAATCGCGCGTTTTGTTGCCCATTTCGTTGTTGAACGGCTGCGCCTGCGCAATATAAAGAAATGTACGAGTATGTGTGTGTGTGTGTGTGTGTGTGTTATACGGTTCGGCGATTCTTAACGCTCATAGTTCCCCTTTGAACCCCAGCCAAATGGGCAAGTAGCTGGCGGACTGCGACAACAGCGTCAAGCATAAAGAAAGGTACAACAAACAAAAAGAAACACCTGATCAAAATTTCAAATTATGGCGAAATGCACTTAACATAAGGACAAGCCTACGACTAAATACACGTATGTACGAGCATGTATGCATAGCTCGTGCGCGAGTTGTTATCATGAGTCTAGCAGGCTCAGCTATGAGCCATGAAAATGCTTTGGTCTAATGAGCACCGCAACGCATCAGGCTATAAAGAAAAACTTGCAACTTCCACTCTGACTCCAGCAACCAACACGCTCTGTAATTATGCCGACCAGGGCGCATAGCAGAGAAATTAACTAAGAAAATGCATAGCACTGGGGTCGCTGTTTTGGGTCTCTCGCGTCTCTCGGGTCATTCACAAAGTTGCATGCACCTGACACCGCCAACTTATTACTTTGGGTGCAGCGGCAGGGCATTGTCACCGCAACACAGACCGGATACTGTCGACTATACTGCGAGTATACGGCGAGTATAGCCGCCAAATTGCAGCTACCAACGAATTGAAGTAGAAAGCAAGAAAAAGTTGAGGAAATGAGCGCGTGCTGTTTGCCCGCCTTACATTATTCTTATGGACCGAGCACCAACATCGTAGTCAGCGAAGCGCTGCGGAATAATTTGGTCGCGGTTCAAGGCGTTCCCTTCCCGCTACTCGAAGTTAGTGTTGGCGGTGGTGATGGTGGTGGTGGCATTGGAGTTGTAGGACTAACAGTTTTTCCTTTAGCGACATCAGCCAAGCAACCCCTACAATTTTTCCAGCTAGAAATTGGGCGCCAAAAACACAAGCCACACACACACGCCAACCAGTCAGTCAGTCAGTCAGTCAGTCAGACAACCAGTCATTGACATAGCCAAGCACGCAAATGTTTCAGGAATGCAAGGACCTCTCCAATAGAGATGAGCGCGTGACAAAAAATGTTAACACAATTCTTTCTCTTTCATCACCTCACTTCATTCAAATAAATTCACAACTTGTATTGAAGTAATTAAATACTACAGATATATATTTATTTAAATTTTAGTTTAAAAATATGCAGAAGTTTTTTGTGTGTATTTGTCAAAATATCCTTTTGTTTGCTGTAACCGATGAGTATTTAAACAAACCCATCTTTTCGACCTGCAACTTGATTGAATTTGATTCTAGGAAGTTGTTGACAATTCAAGAGTCAATTATTTGTACAAATTTTTCCTTACTTTACTTTATTTTGATTTATTTTATTTAATAACGTCATTGTTGCGTTTTCGATCCTTAGAAAAAGTCCTCTACTGACCCAAACATTTTTATTGAAATTAAGTTTGGGGCACCAGAGAAGAACTGCCTGACATAAATGTTTTAAAATTTTATAGATATCAGAAATACCTAAAACTTCATATTTTTTTAGAAAATTACTTCCAAGAGCAACAAAATAAGCTGACTCCGTGTAATACTATATTCATGTACAAATATGTTCCGTATGTTAATACTTTTGACTAGGGCTGTATAGGAATATTTCTTTTTATATCAGTTTCAGAACAAACCAAAATAAAACAGGTGCACACAAAATTTGTTCGTTTCATCCCGTGTCCTTTATAAATTCTTATCAAATCTAAATAATAGATGTTTACGAGTTATTATATTAAGGCCGTTCTAGTACTAGTACTAGTTGTATATGTGAAATTAAATAGTTAATGTCGTTCCTTCGTCAAGTATTATGTACTTTTTCAGGGAGTCTGTGTCTCCCTTTTTCTGATAAGTATACTAAAAATTTTAACCAGAAACGCTACTACTCTGATCCCTTAATATTTTATTTTTTTTTTTCGTACTGTCCCATGGCCAACTTCGTTTGTAAACTCTTCAATAGGACGGAAACTCTCTGTAGGACTCTCACGCACGCTCACGCACCTTCCTGCACACTCATTTGCGCAGCTCTATTTTACACTTAATGCTGCGCAGGCGTAGCCGAGGGCTACCGGGAACAGGCGACATATGCGTCGTTGGCTCGTGCCAACAACATAAATGCACAAATAACAATTATAGTGAAAATATGTATAGTCTAGGATAACACAAACAAGGATGACTTTTGCCAAGGTGTTTGATAATGTATATATACAAGTAGAAGCAGTATATGTGGGCGCGCTGAAATTCATATCATGTCGGCTAAGTAGTCCCTCTTGCTGTTGTTGTTTATCTTTTTGAAACTAGAACAAGGGGTGGTTTAGACCCACCAAGTTCCAGTTTAAGGGTTAGCTGGCCAACTGACGTTTCTGCCATGCTTACGTCCATATAGCACTGAACTGAGCAGACAGAGAACCGCTGAGTCATTGTAACGGTCGTTTATTAGCACCGCACGCAATGTTCTCATATGTGCCACACATGGACATGAGTGTGTGTGTGTCCTGCCCAACTCCTGTCGTGCCAAGCTTCACGTCGGGCTGCCCTTTGTACGCCTACTATCCAACAATTATAAGTGACCACCAACTGAAAGGCCAGCCCAAATGTGCTGCACACATGTAAGTTTGTTTGTAGGACCGCCTTCGCCTTCGTATGCCTCTTCTGCGCCTGCGCCTGCGCAGCAGTTGACTTTTGTTTGGTTTCATTTAGCGCGAAATTTTGCAATTATTAATTCAAAAAACAGGCAACCATATGTTAACCACTTTAAATGACTAGGTTCTAACAATAGCCAGTGCTGCTGTTTTTACTGGTAATTTCCGGGTCGTAGAATGGTAGAAAATATTTAATTATGCTTTCAAATTGTGGGTAAGGACAAAAGGAGAAACAACTTTTACAATAAATATTAAGACTTTGTTATTATTATTTGATTATTAGCTTAAATTGAAATATTACTTTGATCTATAATGAAGAGTTGGTTGTCAGTGCACGAATTAAGGGTAAGAGCTCAATTTATAATAAGGCAAAGAAGTATCAAAATGATAAGCTTCAGAGCAGAGGGCAACAATAAAGAAACAATAATTCTAGATCCCTGCTGCTTTCGCGATCTGCCAGAATTAGACTTTTATCCGAAATTCGCTATGTTTAGATATTTATTTATAATGAAGTTATTTATTCAACAGTAAACTGGTACGAAGACTATGATTTCTGCTTTTATAGGAACTCCGTCTACCGGTAACTCGAAGCTCTCAGGAACTTAAGTTCTGGCAAGCTCTCACGATAAGTTTTCCTCGGAATGCGGACCAAGAACTCCTAATAATATTATCCAGAATCTTTTTAAGTAATTTAAGAGAACGAGTATTACGAAAAATGTTAGCCATCCTCCCAGCCGACTTAAAATCCCATGAATGATGATTAGGAACATTTCATTGAAAATTGAAATATGTTCTAGCAGTGCCATTTAATAATTGAATGTGACACATTTTTATCAATATGAGTAAATATTGTTATTATTGATTCTCCACAGAAAAATATATTTAAGGTAAACTCATCTGTTCCAAGTGTAGAACACACTTATATACAAAGAAAGGGACCACTTACTGCCTAGGTTGGCTTCTGACGATTTAATACTGAAAACGAAACTAGCCGTGTTCGTTTCTCGATTTGACCGAATCTACGACCACCTCGATGGTGATGGGAACTGCAATCAGTGAACCAGTTTATAACAAATAACAAAACTGGGTCCAGTACGTATTTTCTAAAAACACAAATCATATACGAACAATTTTGGCATCCCGCAAGCTCCCGACTTCTTCAAAAGAGCTTCTCTAACTTCTTCACTAAATAAGGTATCCAAACCATCTAGGACAGAGAACTCTCTAAAACTTGGAAAAGATAATTTCTATATACGAGCACTACTTGTATGTGTACGAGTATATGTAGGTGTGCCAGACAAGCCATTCTGAAACCATAATCCGCATGTTTAACACAATATTCCCATATTTAAGTGAACTTTGTTTGTGGTGGGTTGCTGAACAACACCAGGAAGCTCACATCAATGAACACTTGAAAGGATTCGGCTTTTGGTCACGTAGCTGGCGCGGACATGGGAGAACAACAGTAAAGGGAACTCTGTGACAATAAAGGCTACTTTGGTA